ACTCACTTCACGGTGTTGTTGTTGTTGTGTTAGGAAAATAGGAAGAGTTGTGTATTGGATATGTTCGCCACCTTGAGTTCTCTGTAAAAACAATAAAGGCAAGATTCAAATAAATAGGTAAATAATTAGATTCTACCATTGTATAAACTCTATAACCTCTGGACTCACTGTAGCAACTGGGCACCCCAAAATGCAGCGAGGGGGTGGAGGAGGGACTTCAAAGAAGGTGAAGAATGCACAGCCAGGAACATCCAATTTTAAGGCAGTTAAAGAGCCTCCTCTGTCCCGTCCCCCATATATACACACACACACACACCTTGAGTTGGAATGGCGGTGCTGTCAGGAAAAGGAAGTGCATGAAGTAGGGTTAAGAAAAAAATCAAATAACTTAATTATGTCTAACTTCAATTCCAAACAGCCTTAAGACCGAATTACTCATCGAAATAATAGTTTTCCTCCTCTGGCGACACTCTTTACAGCAGCTGTGTTGGCACCTGCCTCAGCTTGTGAGGTTCTGTCTTTAAAAGAAATGAGGGGAGGCTTCCACAAACTGATTAACCCCTGGACCTTAAAGAGAGAGGCAGGAAAAAAGAGAAGAAAAAAGTCACAGCTGAACACAACTTTTCAAAGTAAAAATGCCACAAGAGACTGCCAAGATTCCAGCGTGTCTCCTAAATTCTTCACTAGGCTTATGGCGAAGTGTTTTTCGACCTTGGCCACTCTTAAGACGTTCTAAACTCCCAGAATTTAGAAACACTAGGCTCATACCAGTGGTGGGTTTCAAAATTTTTTACTACCGGTTCTGTGGTGTGGCTTGGTGGGCGTGGCAGGGGAAGGATACTGTAAAATGTCCATTCCCTCCCCAATCCAGGGGAAGGATATTGTAAAATCTCCCTTCCCTCCTCAATCCAGGGGAAGGATACTGCAAACTCCCCATTTCCTTCCCAATCCAGGGGAAGGATATTGTAAAATCTCCCTTCCTCCTCAATCCAGGGGAAGGATACTGCAAAATCCCCATTTCCTCCCCAATCCAGGGAAGGATATTGTAAAATCTCCATTCCCTCCTCAATCCAGGGGAAGGATACTGCAAACTCCCCATTTCCTTCCCAATCCAGGGGAAGGATATTGTAAAATCTCCCTTCCCTCCTCAATCCAGGGGAAGGATACTGCAAAATCCCCATTTCCTCCCAATCCAGGGGAGGATATTGTAAAATCTCCCTTCCCTCAATCCAGGGGAAGGATACTGCAAAATCCCCATTTCCTCCCGATCAGCTGGGACTTGGGAGGCAGAGAATAGATGGGGGTGGGGCCAGTCAGAATTTTTCTCCGAACTACTCAAAATTTTTGCTACCGGTTCTCCAGAACTGGTCAGAAACTGCTGAAACCCACCTCTGACTCATATATAACCCAGCCAGTGATGGGTTTCTCATTATGTTACTACCGGTTCGCCATGAGCGTGTACGCTCACTTCGTGCGTGCACGTGTCTAGTTCACACATGTACCTGCCTTCCACACATATGTCTGGCCCTCCACGCATGTGCTTTGCTCATTCATGCGCCTTCCACGCATGTGCCCAGCCTCAAAAATGTGCCTCAATAGGATGGCATAGAGCCGGGGCCCCATCCGTGATTTCCACTGCCGGTTCGGGTGAACTGGCCCAAACCGGCTGAATTCCACCTCTGAACCCAGCGAGGAAGCAGAGGAAGGGAGTGAGAACTTTCAGCGTGGAATAATTAAGAAAGAAAACCAGACTTCTGAAGTCTATATTTTAGCCTGCAGATGAGAGGTTGAGTGGTACAACAGGATTATGGAATACCACAATACTACTATAATCCTTTTATCTTTGGGCCAAAGGCCCGTTTAACCCAACATCATATATCAGATGTTGGCCAAACTCTAGCAGAGTACTAAACAGGTTGAATGAAGTTTGCAGAAACTTCTTAAAAATTTCTTTAAAACATCTCAGGGAGGAATTTACCGGAACAAGATTCAAACTGTTTAACCCAATGGTTAGATTTGGGAGATTCCATTCTATCCCATAGAATGAACGTACTAGAATGGAATGGAATGGAATGGAATGGAATGGAATGGAATGGAATGGAATGGAATAGAATAGAATAGAATAGAATAGAATAGAATAGAATAGAATAGAATAGAATAGAATGCAGAAGAGAAGAGAGGAATAGAATAGAATAGAATAGGATAGGATAGGATAGGATAGGACAGGACAGGACAGGACACGACAGGACAGGACAGGACAGGACAGAACAGGACATTGGAGTTCTTCTAGTCCAGCCTCCTGCTCAAGCAGGAAACCCTGTACCATTCCGGACAAGAGTTCCCAAAATTTCATTGTCTTGTTTCCAGGGGTGTGTGTCTGCCTGCCTGTCTTGTGGAGTTTGCATGTTTAGCGGAGGTGTCTGCAGGAACATTGCTCTAGCCTAAACCTTGTTGTCCAACCAGGGCTGTGCAACCTGTTGGCCGGTAACTTTTAAAGCCCCCATGGACTTCAACTCCCAGAATTCCCCAGCCGGCCAGGTTTCACCAGTCTAAAAGTTTGCAAGGTTGGAAACAAATAAGTACACGCCCACACCCCCACACCACTAAAGCAGGGGTCTCCAATCCTGGCAACTTTAAGACTTGTGGACTTCTAAAATCCACACATGGTTGGAAAAAAATGATTAAAAAACATGTAGATTTTAAACCAGAGATTTTTTTACTGGGGATTGTACCTGAAATATATAATAGAAAATTGAGATATCTGGTTGTGAATGTATTAACAGCGGCTAGAATTGTGTTTGCTAAAAATTGGAAAAATGAGAAAATACCAACGCAAGATGAAGTTATTAAGAAAATAACGGAATGTGCTGAGATGAGCAAATTGACATTTGAAATTAGAGAACAAGAAGATAAACAGTATTATAAGATATGGGACTTATTTTATCAATGGTTAGATAAAAAAATATGGAAATGAAATATGATAAGAGATTTTTATAATACAAGAATTGTAGAATTATATAAAATATAACATAAAGATGTATTATGATTGGATCGATTTAGGATGATGAAATGAATGTTATAATATCAATTAACTCAAATCTTAGAATATTTTGTACAAAATGAGGGAAGAATAGCTAGTCAAATAACTGTAAGCTATGAATATGGTGAAGACGCACAAAAGACTTGTAACCAACCGACACACTGTGTGTAATTGAAAGCGGCTTTATGTTTTTATGTATGTGTGTTTAAAAATAAAAAAAATAAAAATAAAAAAAGACTTCAACTCCCAGAATTCCCCAGCCGGCCAGATTTTCCCCAGTCCAGAAGTTTTGGAAAAGTTTGCAAGGTTGGAAACAAATATACGCAAACCCCCCCCTTAAATCAGGGGTCTCCAACCTTGGCAAATTTAAGACTTGTGGGCTTCAACTCCCAGAGATCTTCACCCAGCAAACTGTGGGAGTTGAAGTCCACAAGTCTTCAAGTTGCCAAGGTTGGGGACTCCTGACCTGGATGATTGAGAATTTCTGTAGATATAAGTGCTTGCTTGTTTTGCAGAGATGTAAAGAATACACAAATGTGAATACCTTGAAGATTATTCCTATGGGTGACAAAGAATCAACTAAAAAGAAGATGCCTTAACTAGAACAATTAATCAGTGGAACAACTTGCCTCCAGAAGTTGTGAATACTCCAACACCGGAAGTTTTTAAGAAGAGGTTGGATAACCATTTGTCTGAAGTGGAGGTTTCCTGCCTAAGCAGGGGGTTGGACTAGAAGACCTCCAAGGTCCCTTCCAACTCTGTTATTCTATTCCATTCTAACAGAAAATCAAGTGTGTGGAAATTTATTTATTTAAAAGACGTATACGGCCGCCCATCTTAACCACCACAATAAAACAAATAAAACAAAACTCTGGGAGTTGAAGTCCACAAGTCTTCAAGTTGCCAATGTTGGAGTCCCCTGACCTGGATGACTGAGAATTTCTGTAGATAGATAGATAGATAGATAGATAGATAGATAGATAGATAGATAGATAGATAGGTTGGATAACCATTTGTCTGAAGTGGTGTAGGGTTTCCTGCCTAAGCAGGGGGTTGGACTAGAAGACCTCCAAGGTCCCTTCCAACTCTGTTATTCTATTCTATTCTATTCTATTCTATTCTATTCTATTCTATTCTATTCTATTCTACTCTACTCTACTCTACTCTACTCTATTCCATTTTAACAGACTTATGGGAATATGTATAATTGTGTAATTGGATACATCACCACGAAAGAGACGCTTCAAACGATTGAATATATATAATTGTTTTATTGTATAATGTACTTTTTTGTTGTGCTTTGTTATATATGTTTTGTGCGTGTTTTATTTATTTGTTAATAAAGTTTATAAATATTTTAAGAAAGATCAAGTGTGTGGAAATTTATTTATTTAAAACACATATACGTCCGCCCATTTTAACCCCCACAATAAAACAAAACTCTGGGAGTTGAAGTCCACAAGTCTTCAAAAAAGAGCCTTGATAGAACAGTGGTCTACGCACCCTCTTATTAACACAGCTGCCTGCAATTTACTGCTGGTTCGAATCTCGCCAAGGCTCAAGGTTGACTCAGCCTTCCATCCTTTCTAAGGTAGGTAAATTGAGGACCCAGTTTGTGGGGGCAATAAGCTGACTTTGTATAAATATACAAAAGTATGAAGGCTATTGCTCAACGCATTGTAAGCCGCCCTGAGTCTCCGGAGAAGGGCGGCATATAAATCAAATTTTTTAAAAAAATTGCCAAGGTTAGAGACCCTGCATAAAGGAAGGCGCGAGTCCCCATAGCTGAGCTCCCGCCCTCCTGTTGCTTGGAGGTGGCCCGCAGCCTTGCAGCCCCGCCCGGCCTGGTTTACTCCGGCAGCAGCTGCAGCTGCAACGCCCCGCCCGGCCGTGGCTTCCCTGGCGGCTGCAGGTGAGCCGTGGGGCCCGGCGGCGGGCGTGGCCCCGGCGGGGCGGGCGGTCCCGGCTGCCTAACCTCCGCCCGGCTCAGCCAGCGGGCCAGTGCCCGTGCCCAGCGCCCAGCGCAACGCCAGCATGTTCGGCGTCCAGCAACACGTCCAGCCGACGCCGCTGCCTCCGCCCTGGAGCTCCCGCTCTCAGCCGGCCGTCCCGTCTCCGCCCCGGCGCGGCTACTGCCCGGTGCCGGTGCCTCCGCCGCCGGCGCCTTCCCGCTCCTGCTTCGACCCCTGCTTGGCGCCGCCGCCTTCGCTGCCCGCCACGCTGCCCCGCGCCCGCCAGAGCCGCCCGGCCCCGCTGCCCCTGCAGCTCCAGCCCTGCCCAGACCCCTTCCCGCCGCAGGAGAGCTGCAACGGGGGCGGCAGCGTGGTCTACGAGCGGGTCCGCACCTACAGCAGCCCCGGCGGGAAACGGGTGCAGCTGCTGGACGCGCCCAACGGCTGCTCCCCCCGGGCGCTCTCGCCCTTCGACGCCAGCCCGGGCTACCAGCACGTCATCTGGAGCAACGACCCTCCGTTGCAGGTAAATGGCGGCTCGGCCCCTACCCCGCAGCCCGTTCTGCCCCCTCCCACGGTTCCCCCATTGGGTTCCTCCAGGCTCTCACCTGGAGGAGGGAACATCTCACCTGCAGGAGAGAGCACCCCCATGCTCTCACCTGGAGGAGGGAGCACCTCACCTGGAGGAGGGGGCACCCCCATGCTCTCACCTGGAGGAGGGAGCACCTCACCTGGAGGAGGGAGCACCCCAATGCTCTCACCTGGAGGAGGGGGCACCCCCATGCTCTCACCTGGAAGAGGGAGCACTTCACCTGGAGGGGAGAGCACCCCCATACTCTCACCTGGAGGAGGGAGCACCTCACCTGGAGGGGAGAGCACCCCAATGCTCTCACTTAGAAGAGGGAGCACATGTTACACAGAGAGCAACCCACTACAAGGGTATAAAGCCTGTCCCCCAGGAAGAAGGGCTTGGGTCCTATCTACCTACCTACCTACCTACCTACCTACCTTGTTGTTGTTGTTAGTTGCGAAGTCGTGTCCGATCCATCGCGACCCCATGGACAACGTTCCTCCAGGCCTTCCTGTCCTCTGCCATCCTCTGGAGTCCATTTAAGCTTACCGCTACTACTTCAGTCCTATCTATCTAGGTCCTATCTATCTAGGGTGCCCCTTTTGTGCATGGATCTGGGTGGGGGGGGGCGCTGGATGAAACTTTACCCTCTTCCAGTTCACGGGTTGTAAAGGGGGAGGGGGGGCCCTGAGCATCTTTTTTCAAGGTAGAAGGGTCAGAGGCTTTTGCCTGCTGCCTCCCCCTCTCCCGCCAAACTGTGGAACTGGATCCAATTGGATCTCTCCTCCCACTCTGACTTGCTTCCTCTTTTTTTTCCCTCTCACCTGGACGAGAGCACACCTTTCACAGGTTACGTAGAGACCCTGCGCTCGCCACCTGTTGCAAGGATATTACAGGCCCAGGGGAGGAAGAGGCTGGGTCATCGCTCTCCATTCAGGGTGCCACTTATTTTTCAGGGATGTGGGAGTCACGATGGACTGAGTTTCACCCTCTCTTCAAAAAGGCCCCCCCCCCCCGAAATTCACCGACAAAGTTAGGGGCCCTGAGCATCTGCGTTTAAAACAGAAGGGCCAGCTGCTGCCCCCTTCCCACGGAAACCAACCATGGGACTGGATACAGCTTGCAAATATTCCCAAGCATTATGGTTTTTGTCTGTATCACCTTTGGCAAACACAGCTGAGTGTGCTAAGAAAGTGTTTAGCAGATCGTTTGGGGCCAGGAACAATAACAAAGGGGAGTAACTTTTTTCTTGTTTTGCAAGCTCTCTTAAATAGGCCTGTTTGGTGCTAACTATTTCCTTAGTTCCTTAAAAGTTGATTTCTCTTCCTCTCCAAAGTCCAATTACTGTATTGTTCTAGCTGGCGTGGAAACATCCTTCTCATATTTAAAGTTGATTCTCTGCGCTCCTTCCGCCGTGCTGTGAAAACCTTTTTATTCCATCAGGCGGGCTTGGCCTAATCTCTTCCCTTTTTAAATATGTAAATATTAATCTGTTTTTAAATTACTGAGGTGTTTTAATCTGTCTGGGCCAAAATGATTTAATTTGATTTTATCTGGTTTTTAAATTTTTTGTATCTATGTATTTTATTGTTGGCTGTTCACCGCCCTGAGTCCTTCGGGAGTAGGGCGGTATACAAATCAAATAAACTTAAAAAACTTAAACTCTGTGTGAAATAGATTAATACCTCTAAACGTCTACTTCCTGGCCTTCAATATTGATTTAATTGTCTTGTCGTTTTGTTTATTGCCCTTATATTACCATCTCCATTGACTCTTGTGTTGTAGTCTCGGTTGACTCATTGCATGCACAACACAAATTGTGTTATAGAAATCATGCGCCCAGTTGCGTTCATTCTGACTAACATTCATTTCTAGATGAAATAGAGAGCTATAATTGTTATTAGGGCCAGAAGCTTTGCAAAACAAACAAGTACTGTATATTGAAAAAAAATACACCTTTCTAGATATGTTTCTTTTTTTGTTAACAGAACAAGGGCGGTTTCATTTTGTTGACGATGGAATTGTGTTGTTTTTGAAGAGGAGATACAATGTTGTGAGAGGAAGCAGTGTGTGTGTGTGTGTGTATATGTGTGAGTGAAAGAGATTGAAATTGTTTCACATTTCTTAGTCACCTTTTCACAGAATTCTCTCCTCCAGCATCAGTTCGCAGTATAAAATGCACCGATTTCAAGTTAATATAAGGAAGTCATGAATTGGATTTATGCCAGTTTAAAAACCAGCTAATCGAAACAAAGTAAATCAGGAATTTGAATAATTGTTGGCATATTTTATAAAACTTGAGCTGAAATGATTGCTTGCTTTGAAAAGAGTCTTATTAGCAGCATGCATATAAATAATCCCCAAAAGTAGTTGGACTTTCAAATAGAGCAGGGATCTCCAAACTTGGCAACTTTAAGACTTGTGGACTTCAACTCCCAGAATTCCCATGGCTGGCTGGGGAATTCTGGGTGTTGAAGTCCACAAGTCTTAAAGTTGCCAAATTTAGAGACCGCTGACAGAGATTGGGTGTTGAGATTTTACTTCTTCTTGCTTGCTACAGTTCTGCTTTTCAATGACATGGGAAATTATACCTTTTGGAACATTCGGTTATTAGGTTTATATCCTGCATTTCATTCAAGAGGCCCAGGAGATATACAGAGTATTCCCTCCTCCCGTTTCCCCCCCCCAGAACAACCCTGCGAGGTAGGCTGGTTGAAAGAAATACAAGCGATGGGAAAGCAAGACTATAACAGCACACTTGAATGTGCAACCAGACAGACTGAAGTCCCACTGATAGAGATGCAGGGTTAAAAAAAACAACAAAAGCCCAACATGACAATCCTAGTTATCCAACTGAAGCATATAAAAAAATTGATGGCATGGTTGAGGCCACTATAATGGACCGTTTTGCCCTCCCTGGAGTCCAAGTAAGGCAGATGCGGGTTGGCAAATATAATGATTCATCTTTTTGGCTGTGCTTCTATGACTACCCCGTGTCGCAGAATTGCAGATTGAATAAATACAGGCGTTCAGCCGTTGAGTGGAATAAAATGAAAGCAAAACTGTGTTTTCCTAAGATGATGGGGAAGGGGGGGGAGAGAAACTGCGGCAGCGATAAAAGAAAACAGTAACAAGCAACCGGCAGAAGAACTTATCTTATCCTTATCAACTCTGAGAAAAAAATCTCAACCAGTTAGTGAAGAAATTCCGAACAGTTAGTAAAAGAAGAATTTTCCTTTGGGTACTAGATGGCGGGACTATTGGTATTATTGCCATTCTTATTCTGGGATCATTTGAGATAATTAATTGTCTTACTTAGCAATCGCCTTGCTAGCAGTGGAAATTCTGGTCCCAGTTGTTCTCATCAGTCAAGAACTACCAATATTCTACCTATACAGGAAGTCCTTGACTTATGACCACAATTGAGCCCAAAATTTAGGTTGCTGGGTGAGACATTTGTTAACTGAGTTTTGCCCCATTTTACGACTTTTCTTGCCACAATCTCGCTTTTAATCTTGTTTCCGACCGAACATGGCACCTAAAACATGAGCCAAGGGATTTTTTTTTAAAAAAAATAGGAGCTTTGATTTGGTTTTTTTCTTAATTGCTTTGAATAGTTCTTTACATCTGTGATAGGTTTTTATCTCCGTTCACTGCCCAGAGTGCCACTGATAAGATGTGACACCATATATACAGGTAGTCCCTGACTTATGAGCACAACTGAGCCCAATATTTCTGTTGCTAAGAGAAACATTTATTAAGTGGATTTTGTCCCATTTTATGACCTTTCTTGCCACGGTGGTTAAGTGAATCATTGCAGCTGTTAAGTGAGTAACCTGGTTGTTAAGTGAATCTGGCTCCCCCATTGACTTTGCTCGTCAGAAGGTCGCAAAAGTGGATCACGTGACCCCGGGACACTGCAACTGTCATAAATATGAGTCAGTTGCCAAGCATCTGAATTTTGATCAGTTGACCATGGGGATGCTGCAATGGTCGTAAGAATGAAAAACGGTCATAAGTCACTTTTTTCAGTGCCATTGTAACTTTGGACAGTCACTAAACAAACTGTTGTAAGTCAAGGACTACCTGTGGATGAGAAATGGGTTTGTAAATTATAGTTATTTGCTAGAGGACAAGCCACTTTCTTTGAAACTCAGTTCAGGAGAGGATATATTTATCTCTGTCTAGCAATCCATCCATCCATCCTATATTGCTCTGCATTCCTTTGCAACCATGAAAAGAACATCACTTGGGGGGGCTGAAAGCCCTACTAAGCAGGTATATACAAAAGAATGAAGGCTATTGCTTAACGCATTGTAAGCCGCCCTGAGTCTCTGGAGAAAGGGCGGCATATGAATCGAATAAATAAATAAATAAATAAATATGAAATTCTGCCTGAAAGCCTTGATTTTATATATTTCAAGGCAGTGGTGAAATGTTCCCGGTTCGGACCGGATCGCCTGATCCGGTAGTGATGGTGGCGGGTGGTTCGGAGAACCGGTAGCAAAAATCCCTGCCCCCACCCCCATGCCCAGCTGAGCTGCGCAATCATCAGAGGCTTTTAAAAAAAAAAAATTTAAAGCATTTTTTCTACAACCTCTTTGGCCGAAAAATGCTTTTAAAAGTAAAAAAAAAAAGTCTCTGATGATCGCACAGGTCAGCTGGGATCGTCAAAGGCTTTTAAAAGCATTTTTTCTACAACCTCTGAAGAGCGTCTGACGATCCAAACTGAGTTGCCTGATCGGCAGAGGCTTTTTTTTCTTTTAAATGCCTCTGACGATCCCGGCTGAGTTGCCTGATCGGCAGAGGCTTTTAAAAGAAAAAAAGAGGTCGCCGAAGAGGTTGTAGAAAAAATGGTTTTAAAAGTAAAAAAAAAAAAAATTGGCCAAGCCCACCCAGTCATATTACCCCCCACTCCACCAAGCCACGCCCACAGAACCGGTAGTAACAAATTT